TTTGTCAGTACACAGCTCATGGCCCTTCTGCAAGACTGTTGTATTTTAAGTAGAGATTGTTACTCACCCTTGCATCCCAGAGGCTCGAACTGCAGACTGATCTGGTTGTTGAAGTCCTGTGGGTGGATCTGGAAGTACTGAGCTGTGATTGGCCTGTTAGCATCCAGCAGGTTGGTGACTGGAGTGGTGTTGTCAGTGTTGGCTGTGAAGATCTGTGAAAAACAAAGAAAGGATATTTGTCTAAAAGAAAGTAAACTTCACTTGCTATTCTACATCTAAAAATGTCTACTATGTAATTCGACGTGATAAATTTGTACTGTTTGAATAGAGTGGCATTTAATAAAGTCATCAAATGATTGGCTGGACTGTGTGTACCTCAATAAGACAATATTGATAACACTCCCACTTACCACAGGGTTGCCGAACTCATCAGTGTATGGCACAAAGTTGACACCATCGTTGCTGTAGGTGATGTAGTAGGTGGTGACCCATTCAGGCTGAGTGGGGTGGCCCTGGGTGATGAAGCCAGTCACATGGGTAGGTGTGCCGAGGTCAACCTGGAGGTACGGGTTCTTGTCGTCCACAGACGGGCTCCAGACGCCGCTGCCGTCAACAGAAGGCTTGTTGTTCAGGGTGCCTTCCTGTGGACGGTGCTGATCATCCAGCTGAGAGGAGCTGGTGATCTGGTCAGGCCTGATCTGGCCGCCCTCCATGCCAAGAGGCTCCTGCAATGCAAAGTCATGGTTAAAACTGACCACCTAACAGAATATCTGGAATGATAAATCCATCATCAATGGTTACAATATATGGACTGATGGTGCTAGTAAGACAAACGATATTACCTGGCAGACTTCGACAGTGACACCAGTGGTGGTCTGTGGAGTAGTAACTGTGGTGGCACCAGTGGTGAACTGCTCAGTCTGGGTGGCGGTTCCAATGGTGGTGGTGGTACCAGTGGTGAACTGCTGAGACTGGGTGGTGGAAGCTGTTGTGACACCAGTGGTGGTCTGTCCAGTCTGGATGGTTGTGGTGAAGGTCTGGATAGTAGTGGTGGTCTCTGCAATTACAAAACATGACAAATATGTTATTGT